CGTGTCTGGGGGGGTGGGTTTGGGGGGCCGGGCTGGCAGCACCATGAGCCCAGCTGTCGGGACCGGTTCCTGCAGCAAGGCCTGCCCTGAGCAAGGTGTGGGTGCTGGCTGGGGTCCCAGGGAACTGCAGGAGCCCCTAGCAAGGGTCTGAGGACAGAAGCTGGCCTGCAGAAGCTGACCAGAGCACATGGGGTACCCTGGGCGTGCCCTCGGGTCTGGGAACCTGCCCCACGGTTGGCCATGCGAGGTCCCCACGGGCCCCCACCCACCAGTTCTGTGCATCACGCCTCCCCCGTCCTTCAGCACCTCACAGGTTCCCAGAAGGGGCAGGGTCGGCGGGGGGGGTGGGGCTGAACAGCCCGCGGCACGCGCTTGCGTGTCCGTCCCTCCTGAGCCCGGGTGGTGGCCTGGGCTGCAGCGTCAGCCACAGCGCCCATCAGCAGGCCACGGCCTGTCCTCACCCACTGAGGGCTGGGCCGAGCCATTGCGGTGCTCCACCGGTCCCAGCACAGGGCTGCAGTCGCGTCTGGGCTGAGCGCGGTGCTGCCTTCTTCCGTGCAGGTCGGAGACCCCCTCGGCGACGGCAGCGGCTCCGTCCTGGACCTCATGTCCGTGAAGCCTTACGCTGACGTCTCCCTGGACATGTCCATGCTCGGCTCCCTGGGTGAGTCGGGCAGGTGCGCTCCACGGGCCGGGAGGACCCTGGGGCCCTCTTGCTCTGGTCTGGGCTCTGCCCCACTCCCGTTAGATGGGGCCAGGAGAGTCCTTTAGCCGCGGTTCCTGGCACTGACCCTCCGAGCCCCGGGTCTGAGGGGTGAGAGCTGGGACAAGCCGCCTCCGCGGGGGCTGGCGCAGGGGCCCCCGCCAGCCTGTACTCAGAATGCAGCCTCCGCTTTGGAGGGTGCCGTGAGGCATCCGCATGGTCCTGGAGGGTGGCGTGGGGGAGGGCCTGGGCCACCGCACCCCCCTCTTGCCCACCGCAGCACTCGTGGTGGCTCCTCCCCACCTTTGCGGTAAGGGACACGGGGGGTCCTTGTCCTCCCAGTCTGTGAGCCTTTTGGGCAAACAATGCAGCCCAGGAGGGTGCGGGGCGTTGGTGTCGCCAGGGGTTGGAAACAAGTAGATGAACCTGGGCCTGTGGTCAGACTTGGAGGCAGTGCGGG